AAGTAGCGAGCACCGACCAGTAGACTGCAACACCTGACACCTTGCAAATGCGTTGCAAACATTAAAAAAGTGGACCCCGCTTATCTCTCTTCACGGCCGTGGTAATTCCCCGGACACGCCTGCCCATTCGTGCAACAGCCTTAGCTGCCGCGTGGCCGACCACAATGGCGGCCCAATATGGCCGTAATTGGAAATCCCGCGGAATGCCAGACGGTTGCAATGCGACGTATACACGGACTAGGGCCGTTTAAGAAAGCGCGCGGCGTTCGCAAATGGGAGGCTATTCCGGATCGCTCGACTTAATTTCTCACACTGTGACGCTGATCTTATATGGGTACTATGTGTACGACGCGCTGTAACTATTGTACTTTGTCTTTATTTATGCCATCGAGTAATCCATATTTCGAGATAAACTAAGCTTCATGATAAGTAGTGAAGTATTATTTATCGATATATATACATACGTATATATAACTACCATCACATATTGTAATGGTAAATATGTGGTAATATAATTTGTTCCGTAGAACTAAAACACATTGTATTAGCCACTCCTGTGTTATGCAACTTCTAGTCTTATCGGTAGTATGTTCTATCACTTTGGGTTAGTAACTGTTTTGTTACGCATTAATGATAAAACAAGATTAAAATAAATGAGAATAAGCTTTCAGCCTCATATCTTACCAACAACTAACCTTTTTGGTTATTTATTTTCCGAACAGAATTTAAATCTTCAATGTCTATGCCTAAATAAATATAAACAAAAACAGCGCGACAAATCACAAACGAACAAATGGAAACACAAGTCAAGCATAGATATTTTCTAAAAGCGTTTGCAAAGCGAAACAATGCCAAGTTATACCTAGGGAATTCTATATTACTGAGCATTAAACCCGAGCGGCGTTGTTTATTAATACGCTGGCAGCACTGCGCGCATAAAAACCCCTAATGCCGGCAATCGGGGCTCAGTTTCGATCTATTTCCCCAACACAACAAACAAATTGCTCCCGGGGGAATGTTTTAAACGCTGCAATGGAACACCTCGACGGTCAGCTGTTTACGACCGCAACGCTCTAGCGCACGCCGATATGCCATTTTGAACCGTACTCCGCGGTAATAAAGCCGGCGGGGCGCGCATTTGGACCGCGGTGCGTACGTGCTCGGTAGGCTCCGTTGACATTTTTCACTTTACGAACTTCTGTTGTGAGAAATTGTGTTTATTATTTATTACCGTCCAGTCTGACTGGCGAAAGCCTCGCTCATAGGCTGTTAGCGCTTAGGTTATTCGCTACGGCAATTACGACCACGCGGTGGCTTTGATTTAACGAAACGTATGCTGTGCTTTTGGAGGCTGTTCGGCGCTTCCCCTCTGCTGCACATCGTTGTAGAGTCGGGGACGCGATCAATTCCTCAATTGTACAGCTATAATTAAGAAGAAAGTATGTGACAAACATAATGACATACTTGCTAGTGATCCTAAAAAGGATGTATGGAAAAAGGAGATTATTTTCATAAGATAACATTTACTCATCGTGATCAAACTATCAAACAGCACGATCTGAGCCACCTGTACCCATTTACTTTCCGTGCATTTGCACAGGCTATCACTCTATCTAGTTAGATAATATAAAGGCTTCGAATATAATATGGGATGCTGATGTAAACTCGGTTCCAGCGTAAATTTTGTGGCGAAATATAAGTATGTGAAGTTTACCAATGCGCAGTGGGGTCACATATTGGGCTACTCCCTAATACCGTGTAAAAAGGAGGCCTTTTCCCAGCAGTGGGCCATATATAGGCTGTCACTTTTTTTACTTTGGTTCACAATACAACACCGTCATACCTTTTGAACCGTTTCGCGCTCTACTCCTTCGCCGGTCACATAAAAACGTCCTTCCAATGAATTTACGGTCGGCGATAAAACTTTGACACACGTTGCAGATGGTGCGTTGACCCCGCAACAACGAAACCGCAATCAGTTTCGAACGAGAACAAAAAAACATCATTAACACACAAATCATAAAGTTCGGGAATTAACAAATGTTCCCCGAAAAGCGTTTAAAAATCACACTCGTCCAAATGAATAACGATAATAATCTCTTAACGGGCCACGGAATAAAGACCGCATGGCATCGCGTTAAAAGGAAAAATTGAAGCTCGCGTTAGCAAGACTTGGGTTTAAGAACGTATACGTGCACATATATATCCGATGTCAGGAGTCGTATAAATTAAATTAGCGACATCAAAGATGGACCTTATACTCGTTTTTCGGCGAAGGAATAAAGTGTCACTAACAATTTGGTGGATACCTTAATGCGTGTATTTTATTAGCGGGATGTTTTCATTTCAAATTATGGCAATTTAGAATTTGAACGAGGGAATTTGTTACTTGATAGCAACGCAAAAATCTGTCCTTTTTTTGATCGCTCATTTGGTTAAGTTTTGCATGCTGCTCCAGGTCTATTGAACCTAAATGTTTTAAAAACACACATATAAAATAACATGGATTATCCATACGAGATAAGATATATCGGTGCGTAATTAGAAAGTATGTTGCTTTAACATATACAACATAGCGACGGTTACCATATTTATATGAGCACAACCGAATCAAAAATCGATCTGGCAATGCGCCAATTAATTTAATAAAACGTCGCTATATAACGTTTGTTAACGTTTGTGTCGTTGTTAGTCTAGGTTGAAAATTTACACCCCCCACTCTAAAAGAGACGAATAAGGAAAAAAAAATTAACAACGTTATTAATCGATTCGACTTTGAGAATCATGATCTGCGAATCGCTAAATTGCAGAACTACCACCTAACAGAGTAATTAATTAGTTTTTATGGCAGTAAGAAAGATTTTATTTATACTCGCTAGACAGACACTCCCATTCCCAGAATGAAGTCATTATAAGAGTGCTTTTCGGGAATCGTATTTCGCCGCCGATCTATTTATTACCGTTGGAATTTAAACGGCCATTTACCGAACCGCCAGTAACGACCGCCCGATGTAGTGCCACGACCGAATCGAAGGCGATAAGAACACAACGAGATAGCGGCCGATAGAGCTTTTCCATGTTAATTATTCGAATGTTAAACGAGCGCGGAAGAACCCGTGTCTCCCCCACTATATCATCCGTGTACAAGGCATCGCCTGGTGCAGCTAGTAGGCGCGTTAAAGGCCCCCACTAATGGCATCATTTCCTTCCCGTCATTCCGCTTTTTGTCGGTCCAATCCGGTGATGCCGCCGACGTCAGCTATTTGTCAATGCCGCCTGTCTGGGAATAAAACGCGGAGATCATCCTAGAATCGCGCCGATGTTTCCACGGAGTATGAATTCGAGTTATGAACATGTTTTTTTCTCATTTTTCCCTTACTATTTTTAGCACAGCGGAAATAAATTTTGTAAAACATTTCCTTACATATACCTATATTATTGTTTACGTCGATACGTCGATTCTTGAATAGTCCTAGACGAGATGGTCAGATAAGAAAAATGCCACGTTGTGGGTTGATTAGATTATTTTTTTCAAACCGTTTTATGGTTGATCACTGTTCAATCTAATTATGAGCATTGACGCAGTTGTAGGTGGTAACTTTCTCCGTGATACGCACGAATGTCTATAATTACCAGATAAGGAAGTAGTTGATTACGGTTCATCGTAACAGATATGACCAGTGGTTGTTTAAACTCGTACATTAATTGGAACTTTCAATCCGAGGCCGCCGTATAGTGATATCTGCAATTTTACTGCCGTCATTTATGTTATTATTTCTTCTTAATACTCTAAAACTTTATGTTAGCATCGGTCTATGTTATTAAACACATCTCGCATTAATATGTTACTGTGATAAGATAGCAAGATAAGAAAATAAAATATTTAATGTAAAATATTGTATGTTGTTAGTTCATATCCCGGTTAACTGTTCCGTTTTTAAATTTATAAAATATTGATAAGAAGATGCAAATTCAAGAGCAAGAAATCAATCATTAACGAACGGCGTTGATTACAGGTCCAGGGTAGCGGTCTCGATTCCCAATGGATTAGATTAATGGCAATTCGATATTTACAGGTATATAAGAATTAAAAATCGCAGTCTCATATTGTGTCCGGTCCTCGAAAATGATCTCACTAACAGTTACGTTTGACACCTAATGTACCTTTTTTAGAGTGAACAGAAGCAGTATTTTTTTCCATAAAACTATACATGAGTACTGGTTTGTAGTCATTCCTAATATAAAATACAATGTAAAAACAGTACAAGAGGGGAATTTAAAACAATGGTCCATTTATAAAGATCCTAATGGGTAAGGACAACGGAGGGGGAATTTCCTAACCCGAAAAGCAAGTAAACACACGTTGACATTTAGCTCGCAATCTCCTAGCCCATCGGCTGCATACATTAGAGTTAATAAAGCGTACAAGGTGCTTTTCATTAGTGCAACCCGGCCGGCCATCTAGATACGGGCCGAGCCACTCTGTACCCGGAATCGTACAGGAGCCTGATAGACGTTTCGCCTTTAGATTTTTTCGCGGGCTAATTAGTTTAATGAGGTGTTTTGTGGGGTTGGGCGTTTGAGGCTCGCGCGTTACTCGTGAAAGGTAAGTTTTTATGTTGATCGTTTTATTTATTTATTAAGATTTTTTTATTTATTTGAAATAACTTTTTTTTGAAAATTAAAATAAAAAAATCAATTTATTCATAATAGATCCAAAAGCTTTTTAACTATAGATTATTTAACACTCGTTAGTAGTGAAGGAAATGTTTTGGCCAAAATAGTTTATCCACCAAAAAAAGGTACAAGTGAAAAAGATTTAAATATTTGTCGAAGATTTTTTAACCTGCAAACGTCATTTTAATGAGTACTTTGCGTATGTCGTGTTTAAGATGTTGTTGCCCCGTTCTAGCCTACCATCAGATTCAGAAGTTAATGATAAGTAGGCAAAAAGCTTACTAAATTGCTCAGAATTAAATAATATCGGTATTAAAAGTCTCATGAAAGCAAAGGAGCCCCAAGAAACTCAGCTCACAGATGATAGAAAATACGCGACTCGACGCGGGAGCATAATTGGATCGGTACAGTCGCGGGCAAAAATGCGGTCGGCTTTTTCGCCGCGTATTTGGTGGCATCATAATTTCTTGTCCGCCTCTCCGTTCTTACTGGCGAGTGGTTTTTTCCGCGGCGCGCACCGCGATTCGCCGGACGATAATTCCGAGTCCTTCGGGCCGAGTGGAAGTTTAAGGTCGTATGCGACCGCCGTCACCAAGACCGGGAGGCCGTATGCGCAAGTCGGAGGCGATACCCGTAAGACATTCTCGTTCCGCGCGGCTCATTGTTCCGTAATGGGGTGTGATGAGGCATTTTTGCGGCGACTCGCTTGCATACGCGTTCCGTGTGTAAAGCGATACGAGCGGTATTTGGAGCAATCGCTCGCCCGCGCGACGCTAACAAGGCGCCTCCGCGCCCGCACGCCGAATCGGACTCATTAATGAAACGGTTTCCGCGTAAATAAAACACAATGCAATGCGCCCGCTAAATTCCCATTGCCCTGTCCGGCCGTCGCATTGTAAGTGTTTAAATGTCCAATCAATCGGTTAAAGAACTTTCCGTGCAGAACGGACTCGAAATACGAGAAAAGGTGTTAACGAGCTTTTGAGTGTACTTTGTTATATACATTTTATTTAAAATAACCTTTCGGTGTTGTTTAAATATACCGCTTGCTCTTATAGGGATAAATAAGTAATTTCTTATATAAACTTGTCAAATTTGACATTGCTGTAACGTGACAAGCAGTTAGATAATAAATGCATGTGCTTAAACACCTGCGAAATGAAGTAAATATAAAATTATTGAACCGTTTTTAAAACCAGAAACTGTCGGTCACAGGAGAGAAAGCTGCGCACCTCGCTAAACTAGGTATTACTTAAGCAACATAAGCGCAAGAAGATAATAACAATAACGTGTAAGCGCACGCCATACTGCCGGCTCTAAATAAACAATACAATCCAGCGCCCCTTTAGATAGCGAGCATAATTATTATATTTATTCTCAGCGAACAATGAACATTCGCATTGGGATCTGCTTGCCGGCCAATAACATAATTCAAGCCAAATATTGGCTCAGCCAATCAGATAACCGTGTTATCCGTAACGGCTATCACTGACGTACTGTCGCGTGGACAATTCTCTTATAATGAATTATTCTGATTACAACTCGTATTGAACAAATTTTAAAATATGGAAAACATGATGCAATTCTGTTCCTGTCTACATTTGGTTTCGTATAGCGTACAGCTTAATCCATTAAGTCAGCTTTTTTCACGCGTAATTTTTTTAATATATGTAGTAGCATTTCCATCGTTTTGAAATAACTTAGAAAAAACAGGTTAAGCTACTGGAATTCTTAGATTGAGGACACATATAAAAATTAATATAATTTTGAGTACATAACACTGACGCGCGTGAATGTACAATAAGAATTTCCAAGTAAAAAGACAGGTAATAAAGAGCCGTTGCCGAAACTCAGCTCTCTTTAAGAATACAACGAGATTATGCCTATGTTAAAATTTAACTTTTTATGCCAGGTTTACAAGGTTACACTGAGCATTAATAACTTAATGGTTGAAGTATTAATGAACGATAACGCCCCGTCCGTTGTGTTTGCGTGGGAGTTTAATGTTGTATATTGCCTAGAATTGAATAAATAAATATTAATTCCTGTTCAAGTGTGCTACCGGCAAAACGTGCGTCCAAATTCTAATAGTACATACAATTTATAGGAATCTCTGTTCGATATTATAAAATCGTACTGAAACATCTTTATTGTATTGAAACTCATCATTAAATGATGAGTTTGATTACGATCATCATTAAATGACGAGTTTCAATACGATAAAGATGTATATATTGTTTAATATAGAACTTATATCAGTAACAAATTAGCTTAACACTTTAGTCGCTGAATTTATTACTGCCAACAGAAATAAAATAAGAGCCAAGTTGAACATATAGTTCTTTCTCATAAAAATGTTGTTAAAATTTTTAAAAATCGATAATTAATGACCTCTAGATTAATTTCCTTTGTCTATTCTGCATCTTTAACGTTGATAAGCTGCAGCATTCAAAGCTCCATCGTTACCATTATACAAAAAAGTAAAGAAAAGATAAGACAAAACTCTAGTTGCCGCCGATGAATGTTTTATTTGTAAACAAAACTAGGCACTTTTTAAAACACCGCCTAAGTGGGAGTCGGACTCGCACATGAAGGGTTCCGTACCATTATCCATAAAAATAGCGAAAAAATCAATTATGTTGTATGGGTGGCCCACTTAAATATTTTTTTTAGAATTTGTTGTTATAGAAATACATCAACTGTAAAAATTTCAACCACCTATCGCGGTTCATGAGATACAGCCTAATGACAGACGGACGGATAGACTGCGGTGTCGTAGTAATAGAGTCCTGTTTTACCCTTTGGGTACGGAACCCTAAAAACGGAAAAAACCGTATACGAGCATTTCTTTCATACATTGTTCCATGGCATTCTATAAAAAAATATACTGTAACGTTTTCCCAGTTTTTATATACTATGTATTAAAATCTATATATATCGGATACCTTTAACGTCCGCAGCTTGATAGCGGTATCCAAAAAAAACAAAACTAGAATGGGGAGCCAGTCGCATCTGTCAGTGTCAACTAAACCTTTGCCGCTCGTCCGCGGGATTTCGCGAATTGACCCGAAAGCGGGGCTTTTCGTCTGTCTCCAAACGGGTCGTCGCATTGTCTTCCGTTCGGTCCATCTGTGCTCACAAATTCCGGTTAGCTGCAACGCGATTTGGGCTTTGTTTGTACGGCGCCAAGGTCGATAGTCGAGTGGCGCGGAAAAGATTTAAGACGGTTGTTAGGGGTGGCAGGCGATATTTATGCCATGCGGGGGACTTTCATCCGTCTGGGGTCCTATTTATTGCAAGCATCGAGGACCCTTCCCGTATAAATTAATAACATCAACGAGACGGGAATACAGTGGAGGTTTTTAATTGGATTTTGTCTAATATTTCTCGACCATCTACGGGCTGCTGTTTATTACTGTCACATACACTTGTCTTCATACATCGTGCCGGGTTTCCGTGGGTTTTTTGTATGAGATATTAAAGGACGCCGCTTTTTATCCGATCCTATTGTGTGGAGTATAAGCATTATCTTTTATTTAAAATTTTAATATTAGAATAGAATCTCTCATTGCTGCTTTATGCAATGAATGTATGAATGTATTCGTCAATTTATCTCTAAAGCCCAAAACTGAGTTTATGCAGTTTCTTTATTTGTTCAACTGAGAGTTTTTCTCAATGAACAGTTAGTCAATTTAATAACCAGTACCTGGAGGACCGAGCTTTGCTCGTTTTTTATTCGGTAAATCATGTATTTTGGAAATAAAAAAATAAAGAAAATGATCTGGTATAGAAAAAAAAATAAATGTGTAAATGATCGTGATACGAACCGTGGCCTTTGTTTTGGGGCCGCCCGATTACCGACCGAGCTATTATAACATTTTCTTTTTTGCGGCGAAATTTACCGTCATATTCGAATGATATTTTTCGTTCCCTGAAAACAGGGATAAAAGGACATTTTCTAAAAATGAAACCTAGGTAGATCGATTTTTCGACCCCGAATTTACGCACATACTAAATTTCATGAAAATCGCTGTAGCCGTTCCCGAGATTCCGATTATATATATATATATATATATATATATATATATACAAGAATTGCTCGTTTAAATGATAAGATATATACCACCTTATAATATTAATGTGATTCTTTTCTTAATCTTTCCCTTTTCTCTGTAAAATCTAGCTTGTTATTTTAATGTCACTGGTTTCCTTGGGTTAAAATCTAGATTTCATCCGTAAGCCACAAACATTGTTTTAAGTATAGTCTCAGTGCCTTAAAAAGCTGATTCTCAACTCCGATTGTTTAATTCGTATATAATCAGAGGCCGATATTTAATAAAACCTATCTTCTAAGTGATGAAAATATTTATCAGCATCCTAATTTTCCATCAACTTATTGCAACAGCGAGAAATAGTTTGTATAACGAATATGCAAAATTTCGCTTCAAATACACAGGTCCTGATAGCTCAAAATTGTTTGATAATTAATTCCGCGTAGCGTCATAAATAATCCGAAATATACAAAAGAACTTTTAATGGCTACTGGTCTAACAAATAACGCCCAAAATTATATCGTGACGCAACTTAACTGATCCATTAATAAGTTTGGTCTTTTGATTCATGTTAGCATGTCTTCTAAACTACTAAAACAATTTTATATACCGTGAAGTTCGCTTCCAGTTCCTAGACTTGCCTAAATAACCATTTCAAAGTTCATAAAATCTTTTGGATTGGGATACTTTGCCCAGAACTCTCCCTTAGTCTACCAAATAATTCCGCAGCGTTTGCAATAACTCTGATACTGCGGATGGTCACTTGTCATCAAGCAAGATATTTGCTCTTTCCTACTCGTCCCTATGAATGTTGTCTGTAGTCGAGTGATGTTAACCCTTTATCGCCTGTGGGAACATCAGCTCTGGCGTGTCACCACAATTAGCTTACAGGAAACGCAAGGCAAGAACAAAGAGTCCTCAATTAACCCGCGGGGGAGCAACGGTGAGCGATAAATCACGAACGGCGCATTCAGGGAACGGTAGCGGGTTTGAGCCGCCCGATAGCCTGGGGTCAGGCGATAGTATCGCATCGCGACATACCCCACCAAGTTAATTGTGCCCGCGCGGTTTAATTGACACCGCCCCGAAGGCCCCCAATGTTATAGATTCCACTGGATTAAGGCTTAACAAAAGGATATCAACATCCTAGTCCACTATGCTGTAGAATTGACTTTTTACCACCCACACAATGACAACAAACAGAGTACAGTACATTTTGATGATCGACAACATATTGTACATGTATTTGAATTGATGGGTAAATGAATACGAAACGAAACGTGAATATCTTCCACCCTTAATCAATCGTAGTCGTTTGGTGTTTAATGATTAAATGATAAAGGTGTACCAATTAAACATGTATGTAAATATACATACAGATCTAATTGTCATACATAAATCATTAGATCATAAAAGACTAGCCAATAAAAAGTCATAACTAATTCAAGGATACCCAGACAGGTGCACTTTTCTGTTGTTTTTATTACTAAAAATCACTTTCAGAGTTTGTAAAGCTTACACGAGTATTATATTTATGACCTGGAAATCGATTCAAATTGCAAGGCACCAAAAAAACCACACCCACGAGGACAAGTCTGTTTCTATGACTTGCCCATTTTTTTTTTCTTAAACCGATTCAGAGAAACTTTTAAAACTAATTCCATAACGCTTGTCATCAAGAACCATTAAGCAGAAACGTATTACGCATAGCCACGATAAAAATGGCCCGCCACCGCAAATCATTTATTATTATCGCATTAAAT